CGATTGCGGGAGCTCTGCTGAAACTCAGGAGGAGTTCTGGAGGCAGGGAACTGAGTGGTAATTTCGTGACTCCTTTTATAAACCCAATTATAACGCCTACTTGTACATCTTGCTACGTTTGACTAAGTATATTGCATGCACCCTATATTTGATTTTGGGTTTGACTTTCATGACATAACCTAAACTAAATAAAAGAATGTTTGCGCAATTTCAGTTTCAGTTTTGTTTATTGTCTGAAAGCAGATTGCGAAAAGGGGTTGCATCAGGGGGAAGGTTGGGAGGAAGGCAGTTTGCTTGCGCTTGAATGAGTCTTATAGGGTTAGGCATTGTTTCTAAGATGAATGGCCTGACTGCTGTGTTTTGTTTTGTTTTCTGAAGGGCCAAGCACTATTTCTAAGATGAATGGCTTGGTCGCTGTGTTTACTTAATTTAACTAGGCATTGTTTCTAAGATGAATGACCTGATTGTTGTTTCTTTGGGGTATTGACTGTGCAAACTTTGAGGATCAGACATTGTTTCTAAGATGAATGGTCTGGTCGCTGTTTATTTATGGGTGGTTTCTGAACAGTCTCTGCGTCTTTACCCAGGGTACTTTGTTTTTTTTAGCGTTGAGAAAAGAGGGTTGAGCATTGTTTCTAAGACAAATGTCTCAACTCTTTTGGTTGTTTTATTCTGAGGGAAGTTCAGGCCAAAGACTGAACATTGTTTCTAAGATGAATGGTCTAAGTCTGAGGCCACATGATTATAATGTGAACAAGGGAATAAGATTTTCTATATTTTTATATCTATATGCTTATAAGAACAAGGCTAGCCAGACATTGTTTCTAAGACGAATGGCCTGACTATAGCCTTATCACAAATTAAGAGAGTATAAATAAGAGCTATAACTGAAGGTAACTTGGGCCGGCTAAGCATTGTTTCTAAGATGAATGGCTCAGTCTTATGCCCACTTTTGAAGATTAAGTTCAAAGAAGTATCTATAACTTGGTTATTTAAACAGATCAGGGCGACTAAGCATTGTTTCTAAGACGAATGACTTAGTCATATGCCCAATGAAGAAAAAAGTAGTTGTGCAACCTGTTCGTGTATAACTAAGGCAAAGAGTTGGCATTGTTTCTAAGATGAATGACCTAACTCGATGCCCTATGTAAGCTGGGTATGAAGGGATAAATCATTGAGAGACTATGAACTATTGCTTGCCAAATGTGATTTGGGTTGGTGAGAGTACTTACCTTTGTGGTTTGGCCTTGCATGTGAATGAGTTCAGATCACTACTTAGTCTGACTTTCATTTTGACAGGTAGTTGCTTCAGAGTCTCGCCACGTGCTAGAGCGATAGGAGTTAGTTCAAATTTCTGCATTTTTTTAGCAAACTTTATTTTACTTAGGTCAATTTTCGCATTTTCTGGGATCTTTTGTTATACTTGGCTTTGTATAAATTTTGGTAAGCTACTTTTTCTACGGGAAGTGCTGCCGAAATTTCTACAAATTCAAGGAGTTAGTCAAAATTTGACTTTTCAAAAGTTCAACTTGTCTAATTTTATATATGGTTTGGTAAAAATCTGGGAAGTCTCATTTTCTAAAGGGAGTGCTGACCAAATTTTTGCTAATTCAGAGAGTTAGACAAAATTTGACTTTGGAAAGTTGAAGACTATTTTTGTCTTCATATTCAGACTGATATAAATTTTGGAAAGACATTTTTCCTACGTGAAGCGTTGCCGAAATTTTCTTAGTTTAAAGGAGTTAAATTATATTTTGGTAGGGGGCAATTATGGTAATCCACCCTGAATAAGAGGACATTCTGCCAGAATCTACCTTTCTTTGGGCACTTGCTTAGAGGTAGATTTACACTTAGTTAATTAGGAAGATTTTGAGTGAGATCGTGATATGGAGATTATTCTCCATGGACTTATAGATCTAGCTTGAGGATTGACCTATCTTGTGTTTCAGGTATTCTTAATCGTTCGATTCACGATTTGGACTAGATCCAGCTTGATAGTCGATATGAGTAGGCCCTGCGTCCGCGCAGTCTTCTGCTAAGTCTCTCGCGCGACGCCTATCTGATTTCCGCATCGGAAAGTTATGGGACGACTACTGAAGGGACTAGGAGTGTTGTCACGTTGCTTGGTGTATGTGTGTGTGTGTGTGTTTTATTTTTATGTTCGTAGTGTGGTGTATGCGTGGTGAGTGGGATACGTCCTAGTCGACCGACGTCGAGCCGCGCTTGGGACCTCAGCCCCCCAAGATGCCGGTTCGCGTGCGGGTTCGATAGAGGCATGGGACCGCGCGTACCCCCTATGCTACAGCGAACGAGAAACGCCCTTGGGTGATCCACCTCTGCGATTGCAACTGATCAGCTTTCGTACTGTGGACTGGTAGCTTGGCGGGGATACGCCCACCGAAGGGAGGTGACAGTTTCCGTAAGGTGGAGGTAAGTCGTGCCTCTCGTAGGCCCTATCCTGTCGTAGGGGCTCGCGGGAGGTATGGATGGCGCACTCGGCCGGAGCGGCTTGCGGAAGCTCCATGTATATTCGCGATGAGGATTTAGACCAACTCCTGCGTGACGCGGCCGGGAGGGTCCCCCGCTGCCCAGTGCGGTGCTGGACCGATGTGCTCGATAACGCCCCTTGTCGTTTTCCCTTGCTGTTGCTTCTATTTTTTTTATTTTATTATTTTTTTTTTTTCCTTCTCCTTTTTTTTTTTTTTTTCCCTCCTTTTTTTTTTTTTTTTTTTTTTTTTTTTTTTTTTTTTTTTTTTTTTCCTCGACTGTTCTCTCCTTTTGTCCTTTTTTTCTTTTTTCTTTTTTCTTTTTCCTTTTCTCTTTCTTTTGTCTTTTCCGTTTTCTTTCCTTTTTTTTTTCTTTCCCTTTTTTTCGTTCCTGTCCGGCCGTAGGATAGCTGCGTATAAATGAGTGAATAGGAGCGATAGCGTTCATCGGAAGGCTGCGATTCTCGGACGGGCATCACGACTATATCAGAACAGAATGCAAGGGGTTCTATTCATCGGACCACCGTGCGGTTAATGGTTCTGACAGCAAATGGGGCTTCCGTTTTTTGCGATTGCGAAGGGTTGAGTGAGGCGGAGGGCGGCATGGATTTCTTCGCCGACTGGGACTTGGAAGAAGAGCAGCAAGAGGTGGAGGAAGTGGTAACGTTCCTGGCAATCGGCACATTCCCGGTTTTGCTTTTGTACCTCGACGCCTAAGCACTCCGAGGGCGAGCGACATGCATACCGCCTCAAAATGGACATCTTTTATTTTTTGAACGAAATTGAAACCGAGTTTTTTGGCCAAAAACTCGCCAAAATTTGCTACTCCCGAGGGTCCAGCGTTTTACAAACGCTGGATCCCCTGGCTGTACATGGATCTAGCTTGAGGCCAGGTACCTCCACTGCCTGGAGGTACCTGGTCTCAAGCTAGATCCATGTACAGCCAGGGGATCCAGCATTTGTAAAACGCTGGACCCTCAGGAATAGCAAATTTTGACGAGTTTTCAGCCAAAAAACTCGGTTTCAATTTCGTTCAAAAAATAAAAATGTCCATTTTGACGAAATGGTCATTCCACCATCCCTGTCTCACTGCACCCCCCTCCATAACCCGACCACTACCACCACCCCCCCACCTTCTAGAGATCGTGGAAGATGTCCCCCCCTCTGACGACGCCCCACGTGGCATGGGGCAGAAAAGCGCTTCAGGGAATTGCCACGCCCCTCCCGCAATTCGGCGAGATGATCCATGCGGGTGCAAGAACGCGTTGGATCTGGAGGATAGAGCTGAAGCGGGATATAATTTCCCCCCCCCTTCCCCCTCTTCCCGATCCCCCTCCTCCCCTTTTTTTCCTTCCTTTTTTTCCCATGTGGAACCACATGAACGATTGACAGCAGAGGAATGAGATGTGCGATGTATTTTGTTCTTGTTATAGAAAGGTATATTCGGTGTGATCTCTGGTTGTTTCTGGATGTATGGGCTAGCCCTTCCTTCTCTCAATGCTTGGCCGGTGTGATGTCTGGATACACTCCTATCTCTCTTCCCCTTCTGTTTCAATGGGAACATCGCTTGCCTCGTTTTCCCTCCTCTCCTTCTCTCCTTCCTTCCTCCTTTTTATTTCGTACCTTTCCCTCTTTCCCTCCTTCTCTCTCGATTTTGTTCTCTCTCGCTTCCCTCCCCCTCCCGCTCTCTTTGTCTCCCTTGTCTCCCTTCTCTCTTCCCCCGCTCTTTTTCTTCTGTCTTCCCTTTGATTTTTTCCGCTATGGCCAGTTAAGACTTTTTCACCTTATGAGGAAACTTCTACCGACGATGCCTCATCCTTTGTTGCAATCTCAACAGGTTGGACTGATGAATGTGTATGACCGTGTCTAATCGATGGCGTGCAATGAATTGTTTTTAATAACTTGTCGTGCTTATCGGTGTTTTCTATGCTGACAAATTGTTTCGCATATCATGTTTTTCTGGTATTTTCTATGATAATGAGTTGTTGATGCCCCCTCAAGGAACGAGGCACCCCTACCCCCCCTCACCTTGATTCACCACCAACGCATGATTGGCCAACTTCGACCATGTAATGGCCCCACGTCTTACCCTCACCACAAATGGACACACGAGTGGTTTTACCGCGCCGCGTTGAAAGATCGCCTCCCGCGTCTTGCTTTTTTTGCTCACAGTGTGCCGACGCTTTTGGTCGGAGTAGCACAAGTATATGACGTGTCGTGCTCGTGCAAAACTCATGTGACACACATGCTACACACACACACACACACACACACACACACTCACACACACACACACACACACACACACACACAGAGAGAGAGAGAGAGAGAGAGAGAGAGAGAGA